CATTTCCACCCTGAAGTGTTTATTGATATATTAATATCGAAATGAAGGCAGAGAATGGAAACCCAACTTCTACCCAAAAGTAAAACCGAAAGTTGACATACAACAATTTTGAAAAAAATAATATATCTAAAGTAAGAGGAAAATAAGGAAACACAGCCAGTATCCAAATTCATACCTCTGATGGAGACACAACATCAAGATTAGCGTCAGATCTATTGTCCTCACTGATAGCATCACCAGGTCTGGATGGCATTGCATGGGAACCTTGAAATTGAAGATAATCTCACAATTGGAATATCATAAATAGAAAGAGGTAATGAAACCAAAATTAAATACTCACAAAAGAACTATGTGGACAAGAATGCCCAAATACCTGACATCACTTCACTTCCAGTTCTCCCATGGATGTTTTCTGTTCCAATTGCTAGTAGGGCAATTGAACTGGCCACTCTTTCAACAGAAAATGTATGTGTGCTAGTGGCAGACCTTTTCTCAGGCTCAGTGTTCTTCTGCTCTTTTCCTACCTGAAGACTTTGTTTGGTTGAAGAATCCACATTCCCAGCTCCATTAAACTTGGATAGCATCTGTGAAGCATTGTCATCTCCATTGTCAGCAGACTTTAACTGCTTAGCATTTGGTAAGTTTGTATCAGTCCCAGGACTTCCATCAGTTTCAGCTATGCCTGATGTAGAGCAATTCACATCCAGACGCTTGATGTTTCCAACATCTTCAACACCTTTATGACCATCAGAATGAGGAGGAATTCCTAGCATTGGCTCCAAGAATGCAGTCCAAAGCCTCATGACTTTATTGAATTGGTCTTTGGTTGAGCATATCTCTTCACATGAAAATTGGACAAGTTTATACAAGTCCTCATGAATGCAAATATCTGAATATTCATATTCAAGGTGGGGAACTAAATATGGTCCTCGACCAGCAGCAATAGCCAAAAGAATATCATCCTCTTTTTGCATCTTCTCTTTCAACTCCTTGATTTCAGCCACCAAATCTATGTATGAATGAATTTAGCGTCAATGAGAATCAAGAAACCAAAGCTAGAGATAAAGCAAATACAAACATATGCATTTATTTTGACAAAGAGAACATTTTCTGAAATGAAAAGTATGGTAAGATTCATTCACAACAACCAATAGGGTGTCAGCCCATGTACAAAAAAACTTTTACATGTCAATCAAAATATCGGTAAGATTCCCAAAACCCTCCATTGTATAAAGAGGTGACCCATATTTAAAAATTCGAGGGCTTAGAACCATCTATATCTAACTCTATCAGTCATTTTCCTCCCCCTCAAAAGTTGTCATGTTCCCCTCTTCCCACACCACCCAAAAATAAGCAAGGAGAACAAGACACATGTTTCTTTCCTCCATTAATATCTTTCCAGGCCCAGATCTCTTCCCTCACCAATCCAGCTATCACCCAACTGATCCCAATGACCTGTTAGTCATGATCCATAACTTATATGCAAGCGGGCACCAAAGAATGATGTGATTACAAGACTCCGCCTCTCTTTTAGAGAAAACATCAATTCCCCAATATTTTCCTCTTCCTCACCAGCATTTCATAGTAAAGGTACACCTATGACCTGCTTCCCAAGCAAAGAAAACAACTCTTGCTGGGGCATTAACCTTGCAGATTTCCCGAAAAGGAAAACTAGTCTCCGCAACGTCCTTCTTAATCAAATAATTATAGAAAACTTGACTAAGATCTCTAGTATTGAGTTTCCAAATTAGTTCGCTATTACTCTCGTTAATGGAGGCAAGCGATAGTGTATGGACAGGATTCTTATAGTTTGGTAATTTCCTAATTGTTGAGGTTTCCCAATACTTCCACATGCAACTCCCTTTTCCCCATTATCTCTAAATGACTCATAAATTGAGATATTCTAGTTTCATTCGATAGCATACAGATGCGGAAACTGTTCTT